CTCTTCTTCTGCTTTACAAAATTAGGTTTATAACGGTTCGATTTCTTGCAGTGTAAAGTTACGACTAAAGAATTTTCGAAAATTAAATTATTCTGAATAAATTACTTTGATAAAAAAAAGGTGATATTATTTATGCAGAATATGCTGTTTTGTAAAAAATACTGTAGTTTTACTTCTTATTCTATCTCGAAATTCAGCCGTTCCTAATTTAAGTGAAGAATTCGCTAGAACGGAACGTATTAAAAATGTTGCAGTTTCGTAATTCAAAAGAAATTCATTCATTTGGTCAGATGATTATTTTAGTTTTTAAATTAAACGTTCTGTGTTTTTTTAGAATCTTTGTCTCGTTTGACGTATGAGTGAAAAATTGGGAGATCATAAATGTATAAATTTTAATAATTTTAAAATAAATTACCTAATTGGCAACGATTATAATATAATTATTTTTTCAGTAAGAATGAAGAACACGTGACTTGTTTTTTCCCGTTTTATAATGAGTATCAAATATTAAGAATGCCATAGCTAAACTTGTACATTGCGAAATCTGGTTTTCTAAATCACTTAGTCCACTCAGAAGAGTCACCTTGGCCTACACAATGTCCAACTCTGATATTTTTTTTTTTTTTTTTTTTTTGTAGAATGGATAAGTCGGGAGGGAAGAAATTTTTATGCCCTCAGACATTGAATGACGATCGCGTTAACATTGATCCATCCTGCTTTGTATCGGAGGGCATTGCTTCTATCGTCCATGCCGTATCTCGGATACTATATTAAGAAAATTATCAAGGATATGTACTGATCATTTGCTTGTATTGTAGTTACTTTTCGAATTGAATTCAAGTAAATTATCTCTGACAATCTTAAGCTGTCCAGCTTCGAAGGTCCTACAGTGTTGTGAACATCTTTGTCGGCGGTCTTTCCATTTACCTGATTATCTGCAGGGCTCAACGTGCAATTTTAAAGAACCTTGGGTTACATGTTCTCTAACGTCGCTTCGCACTTTTTCATACTGTTTTCTTTTCCTCGAAGTTAATGCGCATGCGTCTAACTGAATCGGAACGCCATCGATTTCCTCTGGAACATACCACTACAGAAATGCTCGCCCGGGGTCCTCTGGCGCTCACTGTTTACCTCATCAATCCAGAATTTTTTTCTTTTTAACTTTTTCTGCCTATGTAGAATTCTACTAATATATGACGCGATTTTCCTGATTATCTTCTCGTACCTTTTCAATATTTCTTATTTTCTAAATGAAATTACCAAATGCCGTTATGAGAACTACGAATTTTCTAAAAAAAATTGTTAAAGGGTTGTCTTAGAATAATCACTAAATCTAGTGCTTGTTGCATAGAAGTTTATGGTAACCATAAGGTACCCAGTGTTTTATTTATTGGATCTTTCATTGGGATTTACTAAATGACAGTAGGACTGTGAGTAATGATTGACGTCACTCTCTTTCCCCTGATTCATCAGTGACGTCACAAGATAGATGCGTTCGTGACGATGACGTGTTTCCCGACGACTTTAATGATAGAAAAATTTTCCATTACTGGACCGAAGAGAGAGCCTTTTGATTTCTATCCAGTTTCGAGCAAAAAATTTCGGATGAGTACGACTCACGTGGTTGGTTAATGCGACCACGTGACGGCGTCTTCTTCACGCGAGACATTTTTGTTTACCCGCTGTGGTGTCCTGATCGATTTGATTGTGCTATTTATAGAGTCGATGCCATGGTAACGCATTACCTGCTGGGTCCTAACTTTTCCCGCCTGTTTTCTGCCACCAGCCAAGTCGATCGATGTACGGTTTAGAAAGGGGGAAAGAGCGAACGATTAGAGGAACACAAGGGAACCATTGGGTTGTGGACGTCATACCCCGTCGCCTTTCCGATCGTCCTGGGAGAGATTAGTATCACACTCAAGCAACCGCAGTTCTACGATTGCACACAATTAAGCGCGATGCACTTCTGCCAATCTACGAACTACAGTATATTCTATATATTTATATTGTCTTAAAATCAATGGCATACGATCTCTTGATGTTATAATTTTACATCAACTCCTAATTAAAACTTAAAAGTTTTAAAGAGTGTGTCCGTTCCCTCAAGTTCTTAACTTCATTGAAAAATAATTATCTTAACGATTTTTTTAAAACCAATTATATGATTTATATCGTCTTTCAAATATTTACGAAAATTAAATTTCAAATTAAACTGATTCGCTCAGAAATGAGCTTAAAATGTAAATATTATATTTGATTATATTTTAAAACCTGCATTAATTTATAAGTATTTCATAAAGAACAACTGATATATGTTGTATGAAATGGGTTAAAACTTATTTCGAAACTTTTTATTGTTTAAGTATTTTTTTCATTAAATTCAAATCATTGGTAATTTTAATGAGAAAAATATGCTTCGATTTATGTGTACAGAAATTTCACTTGTGAGGCATATCGATCTTTTATCTTGTTACATAAAGCGAGAAAGATCCCAAGTCTAATTTTTATCGATCTACTTGACATTTTTGAATGTGATTAAATAGATCAATAATGTCCAGTCTAAGATTTAAAAACTTTGGCATTTAATTTTCACTTATTGTTTATTATATATATGCTTAAATATCGTAATTTTTTCGAAAAGTATTTCAATTTTACACACTAAAACTGTATTTTGAACAGATTCACAGTTCCAATATTTAAATAATATCAAAAACAGTAGATCTCACGTAACGTTACGCGAAAGTTTGAAATCTCTCAATCCATAAACGTAATTTAGATTCATGTAAATTAGGATTAATTTTTTTACATAAACGTTGATTATTTTATATCTTTTATCGATTAAGTTATCATTCGTTAATTAAATAACATCAGTAAATAAATGGTAAGGTATAAAAATGACGAAATAACACGTTTTATCTTCGTGCGAAAAAGGAAAATACCTTATTCTATAGAGAATACGAAATCTGTTAAAGACAAAAATAAAAGAAATGGTAGGTGATGAAGTGTCTTCATAGTGAATAACTTCAGAGAAGATGAATGCTATCATCTTTTGAAATTTTTTTCCTTCTTTAAATTTCTATTGATATATCCACCTGTTGCAAATAATTTCAGATTGTATTTAGAAAATCGTTGTATATAAATTAGATAGCGCAATACCTATCTAATTATGAAATTAGCACGTTAACGATCATTAAATTAAACAAATATGTATTTCTTATAAAGAATTAATTAACTCACGACGGAAATGTGCAAAAATAAATTAGCGAAAGATTAATAATCAAAACTACTGTATAAAGAAACTTTTTATATTTAGGACTAAACGCTATGTAAGAATGTTTATTATATGTAGACCTATATAATCAATATTAGTACAAAACTATACACTTTCGAACTAGATTTGTATGTTAAAAAATTATTTTATTAAAAGATTAGCATCCGAAATCAAGAAATATATTAAACCATGTTGTATTTTTAAATTCTGAATTTATATTTTTCAGTATTTGATAACAGATAATATATTTATTTTAAAAACAACTTTATCAAATGAAAAATATTAATTTATGTAATGGTCTTTATAGGCTATATATATGTACTGTACCTATATGCTTGCTGTCTTCAACGCTGCATAACTGAATATTTTTTTTATGGAGGTAGCTGGTCAAATTACTTAGCTATTCATAAAAAATTTCATTCTACCTTATGCGCTTAATCATTGAAAATGCTATAGAGTTGTCTTTTTTTTTTTTTTTTAAATTTTATCTTATTTGGTAATTTGAATGGGATACATTAAGACAATAACATCGAACGAAATTTTTATTTCGAATATGAAAAACTTCGGAAAAAAACAAGACTATAAATTGTCTTAAGTATTGTTTTTCATTAATTATTTATTCTGATATAGATCCACAGTTTCTGAGAGTAATTTTTTTAATCTGAATTTTTACAAGAATTCGATCATCTTTACTTTCTTTCGCCATTTTTTTTACTGTTTGGTCGATGTTTGGACTTACCATTACTACGGCAAATGGTGTTGAAAACTTGGAATTGTCAAAGAAAGGTAGATGTCCGGATGGATGGCAAAAATTTCTTGACTAAATAGGCCGAGTTAACGCGGTGTGGTTGTTTTCTTTTCGATGCAGATGATATTGACGGCTGTTTTAGCTTTATAGAAGATTGATCGAAAATCGATTAGAATTTCTGCAAGAAACGAAACAACAGCATACTTCGTTGCTAATCATATAATTGACATTAATTGGAAAGAAACGTGTACCCCATTCCGCTTTGTTTAAACATTTTATTTTTTAATTTGTTCAAAAATAATTATTAATAACTCTAACTGGTTTTTGGTGCTTTTCATGTTGTTCCGGTGCACGATATTTAAAATAAAGGTTAGCCTAGTTTCTAAATTAATAAGTTTATCTTATAAAGTGAAGAATGGCGAATTACGTCGGCAAAGTATGAATGTTTACGAGAAAAAAATCTATTTATAATTCGATCCTCACGTGTAGCTCTCCGAATCTAACATTATAAATTCTTTATATGCGGGAGTGAAAATATTCTTGAATAAGAATTCCGAGCTTCTTTTTCCGCGGACGGGCTAGAAGCGCAGTCACATTTCTTCTCCTTAAGCCACAAGCAAGCATTTATCTGGCGATATAATTACAGCACAAACAGAACAAAATGCCGAAGTGAAGAACTTAACGCCTTGGTAGTCGTACGAATGCGATATAAATTTTTGCCGAGAGTTTCTGGTATAAATATAAGGGAGTTTTGGAAAGGAAAAATGCCGGCGAGATGTGCATCGCGATAAATCATTGATATGGATCGGATCGATCGGACGTCTCGAAATCACTATAAAATGGATTATATCGCCCGCTTGAGCTTTTAAAGCCATTCCTACCCGTGACATCTCTTTCCTCCTCTTTCTTCTTTATTTACAATAAACACTTTTTGTATAATATTAATAAAGTTACATGATATTTTTAATTTTCTTACTACAGGGGTTCGTCAATTCCGGGTATTCTGTAAATGGTATTGCCCACGTAAGTAGTTATTTACTGTTGTTCGTTCGGTTAGTTACGCGATCGCAATCGCGTGGCGCCGCGTCGCTCGGCTACGACTACGAACCAACTTCTGGGAATGATTGATGAGACCAATTGAGCACGCGGCATCGGTCACGTGACGACGACCGGGAGGAATTCCGCAACGTGCGGAAACAGTTTTTTTGTTTCTCTCTTCCGAGAGACAATCGATCCATCTAACGGATTAATGAGATTCTACTAGCTGTCCCCTTCCATATTATAAGGAGCCGTTTGAAAGGTTAAAAGTTTTCCTTAACCGTAGTCGAAGTATCTCGTTTGTAATAGTTTATAAGTTGTCAAGGAGGCGGAAGAAACGATAGAAACTAGAGAGAAAATTGTATATTCGAGCGTAACTTTCCGACTCGAATGCATTGCGCATGTGAATTGAAGAGTCCGGGTCCTGATCATTGACCTGTTGTCCGGATGGAAAGAATTAGAGGAGGAGGGGAAAAAATCACTCCGGTTGCTAAGCGACAGCAGATGGACTCGGTTAAATGGCTTCTATTCTTTCTTATTTGCTGGAGGTGAGAGAGGTGTCATTCGTATTAGTATCGATACGAAGTTGATTAATTATTACAGATGCAGCTTTGGAGTCGGGGACTCTCGTCGCCGTGCCCTTTCCCGTTTTTATCCGTGCAAGCTTCGGCTGATTAAATTTAATAATTCAACCTGTTGTATTAAAAACAGATGGAGCGAATCGTGCCCCCAATTCGCTTATTAAATGCCGAAGGATAAGTTTAAGCTTATTTTTAAGTTATTCTGATTATCCGCCTATGGTATTTTTAATGTTGTTATTTAAAAAAAGAATTGAAATTTACTAAATATCGGTTGAGACGAAAACTGGAGATTACTAATGCATTGTGTCGAAGTCCTTTTAAGTTTTTCACAATTTCGGAAGTTTAGATTTGAAAATAGAAATGGTATAGATTTTTTTTCGTAGTTAAAATCTGATAAATAATATCAAGGGTATAGTTAAAATCGGCGTTAATTTTATAAATTCGTCTAAAGAAGTAATTTCTATCTCTTCTTGGTTGACGATCACGTAAATCGCCTTTCCAATGAAATTTTCTCTTTGCCGAATTATGGTATGCTAATTTTAAAATTCGAAATTTTGTTACGGAAGGCCACAAGTAAGGATGGAAAATGATCGATGCTCGAAAACAGACAATATCAAGTGGAAGGTCGCTCTATCCATCTTGGTAAAATATTTTTAGTTTTGATTTTTACTAAACGTAGCTTCCATTCCAACGAGTGATTCATTCCGGAGATTGGTTTGGCAAGAATTCGTTGTTTTTGTGGTCGTCGCCGTCTTTCCTAAAGAAATTTTATATTCTGCATTGATAATTAAAACCTTGCTGCGGCTAGCGTGCGTTGCGAACTTAATCGCGCTCGACAACACTCCGATATGTGCAGATAAAGATAGGCTAGTCTTACAAACGATCCCTTTTAGAAATTCCATAATAAATCATTAGGGTAAGGTGCTTTATCTTACCAGCTCTCTCTCGGATGAAGTTTTGAGTTCGGATATTCCCATTGACGTTTCACTTCGACCCTCGGGGTTGTCACTCGTGGAAGATTAAGCACCGGCGCGATAAGGAAAAATGCTAAATAATACGCTTAGCAATTGCGTGGCAGCTCGGTCGGGTAGCGACGAAGGAAAGTTTAATCGGCAGAAAAGGATAAATTAACGAGTAGAGACGAATTTGCCAGTTTTTCCTCTTCCTTCTTCCGGCCAAAAGGAAAGATTTTTACAGAAACTAAACTTTTCGGTGGTATACGGAAAGGGTTTTTGTAGCCGAGACGTAGTAGTTTGGCTTCTCACCTACGGAACGGGATGCCATAAATATTCATGGACGGCCATCGATTAGTTTGTCGGACGAAGTTCGCGTCGCCTTTGGAAAGAAGAAAAAAGGAGCTATTTTTAGCGGGAGAAAGTTTCGCGCCCACACCTTCGATCGAGGACGCGGCGATCAACAATTTAGAAATATTCTTTATACGGTCATAACGATCGACACGGGGAAGGGGCGCGCCGGTTAGTCTATCGGCCAGGTAACGATCGAAAGTGGAAACCGTGGACGGCACGTAATAATTTCGGAAAGGAAAACAGGAATTTTTTCTGGGCCGAGCGGGGTAATAGCCGTTAGCCTTATCCTATTGGACGGGCGGAATAGATGCGGTTATCGTAGAGGCGCACGCCGCTAAACAGATTAGCGCGGTAGCCCGAGTGACGTGTCGGGTAGGAAGTCGACCGCCCGAGAGACTATGCGGCCACAAGTGTATCGGTCAACAATGGCCTAGCGATCGAACGACCTCCTCCGTAATGGGACACTTGTAGAAGAGCTTTTTTGTTGACACTTCGGCCTCCGCGCTTTATTTTCTCTTTATATCGGGCGCGCCTCTTAACGCTGGGATTTTAAACGGCCGAGAAGTTTTGCTTTTCTGGCCGCGTCGTCTTCCTACGCCAGACCACTTATAGTTTTTCCCTCCTCGCTCTTCCATCTTCTGGCAGAGTCGTTAGCCGCGCCGCCGGCCCGAGCCTCCGGCCTCCTGATTTGATTATCTCCTACGGTTGCCATGGCGACCGGCGGAGAAGTTGGGAAGAGAAGAGATGCGGATGATTGAAAAGCTGCTAGCCAGCCGGCCGTGGATGGCTGCTTTTGGCCAACCGTGCGCCCGCGGCGCGTCCTATCCCGCTTTTTATAAATTAAAAGTCGGATTCGGCGGTAATCGTTGCGTCGAACGGTCCGCTTGACCTCTAAAGCGGTCGGGTCCCTTGTTCTCGTCGACCGATCCGACACGTTTAATTAGCGATGTTACAAGTGATAGGTCTTTAGCCAACACGTTCCGGGCGCTTTACTACAACTCTCTGTCAACAAAACGTGTTTGCTCAAGTCCGCGTTCTTCTCGTCTCCTTTCCCTTTCCCCCTTTCTCTCTCTCCTTCTCCCCTGCCGCTTTAAAAGACCTCTCCACGTTCGTATTCCCAGATTCCCCCTTTCTCGTCGTCTTAATTACCGGTCGACCTTGGACTCGCGCCTCCCGGGTCCTAATGGGGCTAAGCAGAATTATTTAGTCCGCGACCGGTCTCGACACGCAGTTATACACCTATGTAGACAAGAACCGCAATGCCGAGATCGATAGTTAGTCAATAGGACTCTCTATCCCGCCGAGGGTCGATAGAGCGTTTGCTTGTAGCCTTCTTTCTTACAGAAAAATGAAACCTTCTGTTTCCTTCTAGAAGAGAGACGTGCGCGACTCTGTCCGACGGCTGAGCGAACCACCAGACGAGTCGAGAGAATTCTTGTCCTTCCGGGAAGAGGGAGCCCCGGATGGAGTTTCTCGCCTAATCTCGTCTTAATTGATGGTGACGGCGCGGCTTAAACATCTGTAACCCTCCTAGGCCGGCGCTCTTCTTTAATGGAAAATGCGGTTCCCAAAAAAGGAGAAGTTGCAAAATGGAGATATGCGCCGTTGCGAATTAAAAATCCTTCGGCGCTAACTTCCTTGTTTTCTCCTAGGTCAATTCCTCGGTATCGTCGAGAATTATAAAATTCCGTCGTCATGACAACCGGTGCAGTCTGTTGGTGTAGTTTTTCACCCGGCGCTGGTGTTGTTCCAGGGGCTCGCTAGAAATAACATTAATTAGAATTGTAGACGGAGTATCGATCGCCGAAACTCACGTCAGATGTTACGCCGTTCTCTCTCTCTCCCCTTTTGGCTCCTCCCGACTTGCCACGTGCTGTTCGAGCGCAGTTATTGTCATCCTTTTTTACTTTTTTGCAGTAGTTCGGTCCGAATGTCATTTACATTTTCTCCGACTTCTGTTAAGCCGAGTCGTAAAATTCCGACGGATTCTCTCTCCTGTAAAAATTCCCGGAGCGAACTAAAATTAAGAACGTCCCGCCCTCTCTCTCTCCGAGTGGAATTTTGCGTGGAGTTTTCGCGTAAACAAGTCTGGACGATGGCCTTCGTTTAACCTTTAAACGCCAGCGGTGGGTTTCTCGGCCCTTAGGAAGTCCGATCTGGTTTTGAATTTTCCGAGTCTCGGACGAAGAAGAGCGCCCCGTTTAAAGATAGATCATTGGATCGTGTTCGATAAATCGTGGTGGCTCGGGGTTAAAATGAGAGAAGGATATAAAAGCTAATTTATGAAGTCTTTCTGCTTCGTCTGGCTGCGCGTACGGTCTACTGTCCGGTCTGACCTTGAGGAAACCAACCGTGCAAGTATTTGTCCCGAGGGATATTTCGTCCACCTGCTGCCGACTCTTATACCTTTATTAAGAACGCTGAACTCGTATATCGTCCGCCTCTCTCGTCCGTTGATCTACGTCGGGGTTGTAGGCCATGGTTTCTGTCGCGCACTTTCTTTGTCTGAACAGGCGTCTCCTGATTGGACAGTTTATCCTTTCGTTACCCGAATAACCCGACTTAAAATAATGCGGATTATCCCGTCCTTATTAGCGTACCCTTATTCCCTTTCGGTTCCCCGAGGAGTCAGAAAGGAGAAAAAGAAAAGGAAACGTTATCTGGCCCGATTCGCCGTATTATTCATACGCCATATTTCTTTTCTATTGTCTTTCTCTTTTTTTTTTCTCTGGCGAAAACTCCCTGGCACCCTCATCATCTGCATAATGTTCTCGTTCGGAGACTGCGGAGTCGTGATTGATGATGTCTCGAGTCCGTGTCACAAACAAACGTCTTTTGGATTCCAAAAGCTCGCCCCTCAGCTGTTAGTGCCCTTTTCTGTTCTAATTGCGTTACACGCAGCGAGAAGAATTGCGTAAGAATCGTGTACTCGATATATCTACGACGTTGGGCAACGCGTGTTTAATTTGCAATTGTTTTTATCGTGTTCCCACACACAATGCAAAGTGCTTCGATTAATTTTGTTTCTGGTTTCGTAACCGAAGCCAGGGTCTGCCCACATTATCTGACCGAAAAAGGCATCATCCTTCGGTAAAGTCTTATGGAACGAACTATCGGACTATAACCCGGATTCTTCTTATTACAACGAGTTTCTTGTCGGGCGACCTTACGGTTGCTTCTACTCTTCTCCCATTCGTTTGCTAAGATTTTCGAGGTGAACAACCCGTAGATAGAGCATGCGCTGCGGAGATTAGCCCAACTTTAAAAATTTTACTGGGGGAGACGCGACGTACAGAGAGAAACGCGGTGGCTGCGATACATCGCCTCTTACGCACCCACTCTCCTTCTCTTTGGTATTACCTTGTCTGTATAAACAGCTCCAGGGTTCTCGGCCCGAAGATCCACAAGGTTAGGGATAATAATCGCAGAAATCCGGATTGTTTATCATATAATAGAACAAAATAAATGGCACAATACAGACGCAATTTACGATTTTTGTCGGGTTTTTTTTCCTTTTTTGATACTTTATTTCCGAAATTAATCAATAATAAAACGGGTTAATTTAATTATCGATTAGTTCTTGATATCCGAAAATGCTTTTGTGTATTAGCACTCGTTTTAATACCCCTCGTTAATATTTTATTATTCCGTCAAATATATATATAGATATATATTATTTAGTTTAAAAGTTAGATGTAGGAAATGAGGAAGGACTGTTGTTAGTTAAAAGAAGAAAAGAGACAGAGAGATATAGCGTTAGTTATCTCTACACTTACATAAGAAAACAAAGATTTAGAATTGGAAAGCAACATTAGATGAGTTTGGAGAATGTAATTAGTTAGTTGGACAGAAGGCGAGTAGTTTCTTGCGTCGATCCACCTTCCTTAAAAGCTCTCCTCTCATTACAACCCCTTCCAAGAGCGCGCGCACATACATCAATATGTTTTCCAGTTCTCTTTCCTCTCCCTGTTCTGCTGTTTGTTTTGTGTCGGGGGAACCCCGTAATATCCCATGGTGCTCTTTCATTGGCAGGATGCCAGAAACTCCTTCTGCACAATACCCTTCGAAAATTCTCTTTTAGTACCTCCTCCAGTTCTCCGCACCCAGTGCTCCGAGAAAGACGGATTATTAGGAAATTTTCGGTTTTTTGTCTTTGACAAATTAAAAAGAAAGAAAGAAAGAGAGCGAGAATGGGAATACGTAGCTCTCATCCACGCGCCCCAGTTTGTCTGTTGAGAGTTGCCCGAAGGGAGATGGAAGCTTAAAATCCACTTGACCTTGCTTATCCCGACTCTGCAGGTGCTCTGTCACGAAATCCACTCCTCGTAGCTATTTAACCCTCGGGTTTGTTGATCGGTAGCTGCGGCCCAGAGACCCCCGTTCGAATTAAGCGGACGACCCCCCGACCGGCCTTTTTGAGGTCGCGGGATCGATTTTCGTCCCCACCTATTCGCGGTCATCGGTGTTCTACGCGCCATTGATCTGTTTGCCTCGTTCGCTACTAGTACCCGACTCCCGTTTAAAAAATCACCAGATTTCATAATTTGTCGCGTAAATTTGCCACTTCCGTCGTTTCCAATCCTTTTATCCTTTCGTCTTCGAAAGTTTACACCAACATCTTGGAGAACGCTCGAAAATATACCAATAAACTGCAATACGAAACGCATATTTTTTTATTACCTTTTAGAAATTTTATTGTTTCTTAAGTTTTTATAAGGATATAATTCGGTAGAAGTACAATTGACACTTTTTTATTTTTGTAGAATCCCACAGCACCGAGTCCTCTGGGACAGATGCCACCCAGTGAAGGCATGCCTGGAGGTCCCATGCCACCTGCCGGCTTTTTTCCTGTAAGTATGAATAAACAAACGCAAATTCGATCGATTATTAGGCAATTTATTTTAAGTCATCATTAGCCTTAGGACCCAAATGTTATCCAACGCGAATTCACCTTTTTCTTTTTTTATCTTTACCTCGAAGTAATCAATCGATGAAGTTTTTGATTTCGAAAGAATTCCTTATTAGAGAGCTGTAGTAACGTCTAGACGACCGAAGAAGGGGGACAAAATTGGATTTGATATTAAACGAGTTTGGACAAATGGGATTACCGGATCGCATCTTTTTACTCGACTTGGTCAATAAAAATTACTTCGACGTAATTCCGGCGTAGGCATTTTCCTCTTACTTCTTACACAGGTGGGGTTTTTGTTTAGAAAAATTAATCTCGTCACCGTTTCGTCGAAGGGATCGTTACCAAACAAGAGTAATCGAGTAGCCGGGATTCGAACCCTGAGCCATCGTCGACCAACTTTCCCCTTTCTTAAATTGCGCCATCCCCGGAAAACTAGGCGGAAATTAATGGATTTGGCGATTCTTTGCCTTCGATCGATTTTTCCCTCTATCCTTTAAAGGCCGGGAAGATCATAATTATCGAAGATAACGATCGAGTCTCGAAGGTCTTCAATATCTGGTACTTTAAACGTAATTATGATGTAATCTATTAATAAGGGTTTGGGAGTGATTTTGCTTTCCTCTTTTATAATCGCCATTCGTGCCGGGAATAAAGGACGGAATGTCGTCTTTGTTTAGTGTGTATCTGTGTAAATATTTGAGCAGAAAACAGATGCAAGACGTTTTAGTTTACCGAGATTATGCAAAAGATTATAAATTTGTCGACCGTTACGAAATAGACACACTTTCGTTGACATTTCGCAACGACTGTTTTCTACAGTTATGTATCTATGTATTTGGGTAATCTGGACGGCGTTAGGGTCTCAACTCTTTACACCGAAATCATATATTTGAGGTCTCCATTGCGTGGTATAAAATCGTGTACATCGCGCTGTTTATCCCATACAATTCTATGTAAGAATAAGGGGTGGGCTTAAATGAATGCTACCATTTTTACAAGTCATTGTTTTTAACACAGGCAAAAAGTGGTGCAGTTGACTGATTACGTGTATATATTGCGCGAGGAAGTATTATATTAGAAAAGTAGGATTCATAATACGGTAAATTTTATCAATTAAGTAAAGTCCAGTTCCGACGGTGGTAAACGGTTTAGAAATGGAAATAATCTCACCGTTACCGCCATCTATCGAGAGGAAAATACAAATAATTAAATAAATAAAATAAACAAAAAAAAAGAAAGAAATTGGTTGCGACCGTCGTTGAGAATTAAGGCGAAATACGGGCCCAAAACATTTTCGGGAGATTTATGAAGCGGGGTGTTAACCGACGGGCGAACTAAACGAAGTAGAACATTTCCCCAGTTCGTCCACGACCCATCGGAGGAATGGATCGCGTAACTACAAACGTAAACGCTATTTCTATTCCGATTAGAAACCCATTAGCAGCCGTGATTGCTTTGGCGAGTCCACTTGCGTGAGCAGTCAAAACAATCGTCAAATCCGCGAGTGACGAAATGTCTGTTTCGCGTGATTTTGCAGCTGATGATGCGGTGTAATAGAATTTTCCCCCTACTTACGCTTGTCTCGTTTCGTTTAAATTTCTATCATGTCTCTAAAGGTTAGTTTAATAGCCCTGGCTCCGCCGTTATAAAAAAGGGGACAGAAAAATATTTACACACAGATGGAGCCACCGTACGGGAGGAGGCTGACGGATTTTAACCGATCATGTGATTTTGTTGACATTCGGGATTGGTTGTTGTACCGTTCGCCTTATTTCGTATATTGAATAGATTTTTTTTTTTTTTACTTTCGGTGATTTTGCTGTAGAAACCTTGCGACATTTTACCGTAATTGTGTCAAGTGTGAATATTTTCTGTATAAAAGTGCCTAAGCGTTTGCTCATTTTACGAAATTACAGGATGCGCTCACTTTCTCCTTCAAAATGCTCTTGAACTGGATGATTAAAATGACCATTGATGAGCAACGTTGTTTCACATGGGAAAAATAAATACATTTATTTGTTTATAAAACTTTTATTAGTTTAAAAAGCGAATATAGAATATGCGTTAGTTTAGCGTCCGAGAAAGAGAGAGAGAGGAAAAAACCCTTTTGTCGGCCTAATTTATATTTATTTTTGCTTTCAGAATTCTCATATGAGGCCCTCCCCACCTCAACAACCAGTTTCACAGCCGTCCCCCCATCCACAACCTCCACCCCCGCATAATCAGATGATGCAGAGTCAGGTGAGTCGAGATATAACAATTGTCACCTTTTAAGGTGATATCGGCTTTCGTTCCGCGTAATATATATATATATGTGCATATATATGGCTGCAGTTACGATTCGGTGACGGAAGTAACGATCCCTCTTTACATAAAATGCAGAAAGTCTGGACTGGATAATATCGATTTACTTTATACCCTTATATCGTCTAGTGCTGCCATCTAGTTAGGGACGTGCGAGTTAAAATTTAAGAGCGTTCATTATTAGAAAATTTTTTTTCTTTTTGTTATAACCTATGACAAATGACATAAATGAATGAAATGATTTTTCGTAAACGAATGTTAGATTTATATTTCATTTAGAAATTAAAACAATTTTTCATTAGACACTTATATATTATTCATCTTATGAAAATAATAAAAATTACTTCCATACGTTATAAATATACCGTAAAAATGTACCATTTACTGGTATGAGGCTTACCTTAAATTATAATTAATTACACGATATTAAATTTATATAATAACATTATTTAAAAAATATATAGGATGTAGATTACATATTATTAAAAGAAATGGAAAAACTTTCAACATAGTCGATTTATAAATTTAGTTTCTTAACAACTAATGTCAAATGAGTATTGAGATACTGAATTTACAGTAAAACCTCATTAAGTTGAATTTTAGTTACTAAGATTTTACAGGTCCTGGGTACAGATATCTAGGATTTTCCATATAATACAGTCTTGTTAAGTTGAAATTTTTGACATTTTTAACTTGAGCCTATTTTTCTGTGTACCCTTTGCTCTGTGATAGGTCTGTGATTTTCATTTTCTCTTATATTATGTGTGAATACAAACAATTAAGATACATCTTCATACTAAAAACAACATACCATTATAACAGTGCATTGACATGCTTTTACCAATACAGTATGTCGCTGGTGTTCTGACTGGACACGAGGCACTTTGACAATGAATTCAAAAGTGCCATAAACTGTAAACAATTTTGTAACCAACCTGTAAATGAATTTTTGAGAAAAGCCTTGATGATGGGAAATTTATGGCTATGTAGAAAATTGGGTATTGAACTTGTTAACTCAAAATAGGGATTATTTTACTTCTTAAACTTCAACTTAATGAAGTTTTACTGTATTTATAAATTACTTTTAAAGTATATTATTATTTTTTGAGTTGTAAAAATGCATATTTGTTATATGTTTTTCTTGAAATATAATAATAATAGCTGCTTGTTTAAAACAATTCTTATATATACAAAAATAAAATTAAATGATTTTATATCGGCCACAAAAATAAGTAATAAAGAACATTAAGCCATTTAGTGCCTAAATGGAAAATTTTTTTTTTACTTGATATCAAATCTGTTAAATAATGTGTGTATTTTGACATCATAGATATGTATATATATTTTTTAAACTTGAAAATGAAATGTTGTATAATGTTTATAAACAACTGCAAATTTAAATACATTATATCTTTTAAAAAGAAAATATAAATACATTATTATAAATTTTATATATGAAATTTATAAAAGTAGTTTAAATGTTTTAATTTGTATGTTTTATATTTTGAAATAAATAAAAAATAAAATAAAATAGTTTTTAGTACTTTTCCTTTCTTTACTAATAAATGCATGTGATATTATTCATGTAAAAAAATAAATTAAACTAGAAGCAATGCAATTAAAAAATGTCAAAAAAACATTTCACTTAAAGAATCAAAAATTTTAATATTTGATAATATAGCATAAAGGATAATGGTGTTTTTTTTCATAGAAAAGTTGGAAAATGTTATTTTGTGATTCTAGTTTCTTATAGAGAGTGATTTAAAATCTTTATTTTATTATTATTATTATTTATTCTGCAAAAATAATTCTTTTCATTTCTTTTAATGTAAAAAATAACATTTTCATTCTTTTTTAAACTAAGAGAAGTACAGTATTATGCATTTAATATGCAAACTGTATATAGTTTTCAGCTTAAAATGAAAAATTGCCTAACCATTAGCTGTTATTACTAATTGTCATATTTAAATATTTTTTAGAAAGTGACTAATATGTTTTTATTTATGCCTATCAGACATTTAAATCACTGGATTCATTTTTTGAATTGTATTTTAAGCTAATTAAATAATTAATTTAGTTTAAAAGTAGACCACCATCTTGTGCTAAGAAAAATAATCAGAATTAATATACTAATTTAGGAAATTCTGGAAGAAAAGTCTATTTTGTTACAGAATTTAGTCTTCTCTTGTGTACTGTTTAGAAGCATACACTTCTTTTTTTTAAGGGTCTAAGAAAAGATGCTTCTATTTCAGGGATACTTTTATTTAAATTAAATTTTATTTACAAAATATCAACATATATATATTTTTTTTTAGTTGCCATTGTGGTGGTGTGAGTAGTTTCTTGTAGCTTCTTGAAATTCATCACTTTTTCCATTTTGCATTTGTCTTTATTTTATAAATATTTTGCAGCAGAAATAGTTTGTACAATTTCTGATAAATTAAAAATTCTTTTTTACTATCTAATTAAATGTGCTTCTAAACTGGAAATGCTACAATTTCTGGGAATGCCTGATATTTGAGAAATACTAGGTTCAGATTTATCATTGTTATACATTTTGGTCAATCATGAAAATTTTCATTAGAAAATTTATACTGTATAAGGTATATGAATATAAAACTGTCTAATATTATTCTAAAATATTATTGTAAATTTTTAATTTTATTTAAATAGATCATATGTGAGAATAAGTCAAAACAAATTTCAACTGTTTTTTTTTTCTTTTTTTAGTGTCAAAAGTATGATATAGATTTGTAATTTGTTACTATTAATGTAAAGAATGAATACTGATGATGTCCAGAAAATTGCATAGAAACAGAATACTTTAGCTGCTAGAGTACAAAAAAAAATAAACTGAAGGTTGATTATGACATGCAGTACATTTCACTGAAATTTTGATGTTTCTTGTGAAAAACAGTTTCACTATATTCATATTACAGAAGCTTATGAAATGTTGAATCTCTTCTATTATCCACAGCATTTAGACAGTTCGAGGCATTCTCTGAAGATCAGGAATCAATCTTACAACAGACAAATCTCTAGACTAATATGAGTGTGTTGACTTGAAAAACTTTCTGAAATTGGTATCATCACACTGTAGAGTTTTATCACTGTTGAACTTGCACAGAATATTTCCCTTAGGAGTGTCCATAAAATTTTGCATGGTCATTTGTGCACAAAATGTGTTTTTTCTTGATTCATTTTCAGGCTTTTGATGTAAGAATAGAAGCATTGTTTGTATACGTTTTAATTTAAAACTTTAATACTACTTTTATTGAAAATATTTGTTGTGTTGTATACAATACTTTTGGAGTCACATTAAGTAATGCATCAGATTTATCTTTTCTGGGGTAAAAATTGTTATATTTAATTAATGATTCCTCCATGAGAAAAGAAATGGAATTTGTTTGTTATTAAACAGTACAGAAAACAAACACTTGCTATTCCAAATATTGTATTTTGAAACACAGACTTTCTAATATTAAATTTGGAATTAAATCACTAGATCCAGTAAAAAAAACTTTTTTGCAAAATTATCTTAAAAAGTTAGACCTATTAGTTATTTCACTATTTTGTTGGAAAAGATAATAAATTATAAACATTCACAAAATCCCAAGTACTTGAAAACTTTTTGGTTTATCAGGGAAAATTTTAGAATGTTAACAAAAAAAAAGTTTTTTCATAAAATTAATATTTCTTTGATGATGATAAATATTCTGTATTTCATGAACATTTGAGGTTATTTTTTAACTTTTTAAAATTTTTGACTTTAACTAGCTTTCATGCTAGTTAAAGTCAAAAATTTTAAAAAGTTAAAAAATAACCTCAAATGGTTGACTCATTTCTGCAGTTAGTTTGTGGTGATGAAACTGACTACATCACTTCTATTTACAAATACAGTGGGTGATCGGTTAACGAACATAATCCATTCCAAGACTTTGTTCACTATCCGAATTGTTCATTAACCAATTATGAATTTACCATAGGTTTGCTCTGGAGACCTCCCAAAATAAAAAATATATACTTTCTTACTACGTTTATTTCTATGTAATAATAAAAATACATACATACACAGACTTGCATTTTTATTAGTTATGGTTTTTTGTTTGTGGGGGTTAAATAATCTGTCTAATGTTGATTGCTTTTCTCTCTTCTTCAGGATTTTTCAGAAGTAATTAATGGCATTGTAATTGTAGAGATCCCCAAGCCTATTAACCTCAACCTAGTTTGTATGCCATTCTAAGACCATTGATCTGACATCCCCCACTTCTTCAAAAGATCTTTAATTAATAGCAGATATCGGCATTAATCTTCTTTTTCAGAATAAAACATATCTTGCCAATTTCTTGGTGTTCTCCATTCAAGAGTTCTTGGTGTTCTTCTGTTGTCAGATCCGTTTCAGGTTCCATTATGAGCTCTCCATTATTTTTTATTTCTCAGATGTAATTTTTGTTACTCCTTTAACTGCTTGAGTCTTTTATACTGTATCTTTCTTAGATAAGATTGAACTGTGCCCTACTGTAGATTCGTTCAAGCCATACTACCCAGCAACATCAGACATCTTCTGCTTACTCTCTACCTTTGCTATTATACTCTCACCTTTCGAAAATAAAAATTGACACAAAACTTAATGAGTGCCTGCCCAACAGTCTCGCGAATACTATAAAAGAATTGTTTGTCAGAAAAATAAAAGGTTGGAATTACAAGGGAGTATTTCAAAGTTCGAGGGATACTATCTAATCAGTATATATCAGGTTGAGCGTCAACCTTGAGGTCTCCCATGCTTCAAAAAGTTATCTGGAAACAAAGGAAAATCAGTCGATATTTGCTATTTTCATCGCTTCTTTTTATGTTTGTTCAGTGAAGTGTTTGTTATCTGATCATGTGTTCATTGTCCGATCATAAAAATCTTTCACAAAAGTGTTCGTTATCCGATT